TCTCTCTCTCTCTCTCCCTCTCTCTCTCTCTCTCCTTCCTCTGCCCCTCTCCCCTGCTCATGCTCTCATTCATACATACATACATACATAAGAAATACAAAAATAAAAAAAATAAATCTACTCAACGGCTCTGGACTGGGAATCCCAGGATGGAGCCTGGGAGGCGGGGGGGTAGGGGTGGCGGCAGGGAATCCCCCTCCCCCAGTGTAGTGCACAAACCACAGGGCAGGCTTTGTGGGAAAACTCTGTTCAGAAACAGCGCCCCTCTATCTCCTGCTGCATCGCATAGCTCACGCTGCCAGGTACAAGCCATCTGGATAACGGTGCTCTTGCTGTGTTGTGTGTGCATGGAAATAAACATCAGGAAAGAGGGGCTGAGATGCGTTCCCATGTTGAACTACTAACATGCTCAAAGGAGTCACAGAAGGGTTAAGGGCAGCTTTTCCCAAACCGTGTTCTGAGGAACCCATTTAGAGTGATATTAAGAGTTGATAAAAACGACCAAAAGGCCCCTCGAAAAGGCCGTGCCGATTCGCCAACGTGGCTTCGTATGAGCTGCTGGTCCCGTGGCCACCGCACCTTCTCCTCTGTCCTCCCCACGGGACGTGCAGCCACACCGTCTACGGCTCTGGGTTACCGCTGTCTTCCGTGGATTTTCGGGGGTCCGGAGAAAGGGTGAGGAGTTGGGGGGGTGCCACCAGACTGCAGCAACTCAGACCAACTTGAGAAGATGGCAGGTAGCCCTCAAATCTTTGCTCATTTCCTGAGCGCTTCCCACATAGCAGGCCCGACGCCGGCGTTTTAATTCTGCTCCTCGTTCACGTGCTAGGGTGACCGTCATCCCCATTTTACAGATGTGGGAACTGAGGCTCAGAGACCTTGCTGATGCTCTACACAGCAACGATTCACGCTCCAATCGGACCCGAAGCCTAACCCTTCAAGGGAACCCCGGGACTCCCTGCCGCTTCACACGCTCCACAGCACAGCCCGCTCTCAACACGTGGGCAACACACCCCTTGACTCCTGGGGTTCGAGCCGCACGCAAGCAGGCATGGGAACGGGACTTACTGAGTTCATAGGTCTGCGTGAGCATGTCCCGCTCGTACACGATGTCCACCGGGGGTACTCCCTTGGAGATGACCTCCTCGTCCTCATCGTCATCCTGGTCGTGGTCGTCCTCGACCTTCCGTTTAAATTCCTTCAGCAGCCTGAGGCAGCGCACCATGACGTCCGTCCCTGGGAACATAACGTGGCATGTTTCCCAGCAATGAGCACAACACTGCTGGGGACGGGGGTGGGGGTGGGGGGGCCCCCGCTGGGACAGAGACCCAAGAAAGGCTGTATGCAGCATCGAGTTGGGAACATTTAAAACTGCACATCCTGGGGCACGAGACCTGAAAGTTTCCTCCATAAAACCGCTTTCTGTTTTCAATATAATGAGGAAACAAAGACATGCAAATGAGGGGGATAATGAGGCACTGTGTCAGGCTGTTAAAGAAACAGGAGCAGCCCTCTCCTGGTCGCGTTTGCTCTGTGACAAGAGGAAGCGGGCCTGCCTGTCCAGCAACTGCACGGTGCCTGGCACACAAGCCGTGTTGCTTCAAGAATGAAAGCTGTTTTTTTTCCTTCTAAAGCGGACACCCACAGCCAGTAAGGTGTGGCAGCCACGTAAACGGGTCCTAGCAGCCTCTGAGAACGCTGCTCCAAGAGTGGGAATTTATTCCAAGAAAATAGAAAGAGGCGAGAGCTGCCGGGACAAAGAGGTCCACACAGCACTCGTTATGAGCTAGCTTTTCCGAGTGACAGAAACAGTGATGAGGGGCTAAGTGGCAGCACACGGACAAGTCACCACTCTGTGCGCTGGCGCCTGCCCTCACACCACCACAGTGCGCCTAGACGCCGCCCCCAGAAGCACGACGTAACAAGTGTTGCCTACGGCTGGACCGAGAGACAGGTACAGGGAAAAGCAAAAACATCGTAACACTTTGCTAGTGCAAACTCACTCATTCGATCCTGACAATCCTGGGAGGCATTTTACAGATGGAGAAACTGAGGTTCAGAGGATTACACGACTTGCCCAAGCTCCCCAGAGCTTGTAAACGACAGGTGCAAAGTTACTCAGGGGTCAGAGGCCTCCAAAGCAGAAGAAACGATCCAGCACTAAGACGTCCTGTGACACAGGAGTGTGGAGGCAGAATAAGGGCCCCTTGAGGATGTCCACGCCCTGACACCCGGAACCTGTGAATATGTTCCCTTCTGTGGCAAAAGGGACTTGCAGGTGTGACTGAGTTAAGGCTTTTTGCTGCAGGGGTCGCAGTTAGCTGCTTATACTGGAGAATCTGGGTGGGTCCCGTGTCACAGAGTCCTTAAAGAGAGAGGCAGAAGGATCAGAGTGAGAGACTGGGGGCTGCTAGGCTGCTGGCTTTGAAGACGGAGGAAGGGAGCGCAAGGCCAAGGAATGCACGGGGCCTCTAGAAATTGGAAATGGCCACGGGAAATGGATTCTAGCCTAGCGCCTCTGGAAGGAACAAAGCCCTGCCAACATCACAACTGTGGCCCAAGGACACCCATTTCAGACCTCCAGAATTATAAAATAATAATAATAATAATAATAATAAATAGAAGTAAAAACTAAAATAATAAAGAAAATGCTGTCTTCAGTCACCAAATCTGCAGTAATTATCACATCAGGGATACAGATGGTTTCTCCACTGGGCCACCGAGGAGCACAATCCTGGGTACTGGGGCAAGGAGGGGCGACAATAAAGCTGGCCTCTGCCACCCAGCGCCTCTTGTGCAGGAGCTGTGGCCCCTGAGGGCCTTCCTGCGGGGTGTGGCATGCCCACACCGGATACTGCAGACTGACCTCAGAGCAAGGTCAGGTACGACCACCCCAGCTGGGGCAGGGGATTATCATGGGGGGACACAGCACGTGGCCTACAGGTGTCATTCACAAACAGTAGTGCGTCTCAGGGCCTTGAACTCATCAGATTTACCCTCAGAGGAGGGTCTGGCCATGGCGGACCCACCAGATCCCTTCAGGGGGGTGGGCAGGCCTGGGGCAAATGGACACAGAAGTGAGGGCAGCCTGGTAAGTCCTCAGGCATTAGCCTCGTGCTAATTGGCCTGCACTCCTCACAGTGACAGAAAATCACCTGTTCATGACTTTTCAACAGAAGAAACATGACATCACAGCACTGGCTTCCTTAAGTCTTGGCTTCCTCCGCACCTGCCAGGCCCTCCGAGGTTCTCCTGTTGCCCACAGCTTTGCCCGTGGCTCGGGGTGCCTGCCCTGCCCTCCCCCTCCACTTCTCCCTCCCAGGACGGGAGCCTAAAACAACCAGGAGGGGAGCCATGGCGACGAGGGGTACCCTTGCGCCCATGTGCATGGCTGAAAATTATTTCAAGGCTCAGGTGACCAGAACTGGGTGCTCCGTGCGGGTTTCCTTCTTGCGGCCGCAGATGGAGGCACCTGTGGCCAGCCCACCAACCACGGAGTCACTCCCCACTGGGTCCTCCCCCCGACCTCTCCCCAGGCCCCCTCCCAACCCCCTCAACCCCCACCTCACCCCTCAGACGGTGCCCAGAGTGACCTACTGCTCCCGATAAAGCTGCTCCCGTTCCTCAGACGCCAACACAAGCTCTCCATGTGTCACACGAGCTGGCCCTCATCACGGCTGTGGGAGGTGGCTGCTACCATTCTGTTTCACACTTGAGAACAGCTGGAGCTAAGGCATTTGCCCAAACTCCCACCCCTTAGCAAGAGAGGAACCGGGATTTATCAGACAGTCTGCCTTCCGAGCCCGGGGCCCAAACCTTGGGCAACATACGGCCCCTAATTCAAAGACACCCACGTGACCAAGAACGGCGGGTGACCCGGAGCCAGGGACGTTGGGTTCTGCGGGAGTGACGGTACAATGCGGCACTCAGGCAGGCCAGCACGTCTCAGCAACAGCCTGGCGTTATTCCTTCCATCCGGTTCTAACTTCCTCATGAGGTTAATCGGCCAAGAAAAGACGCACAGAGCAGCGCTCGACATTGGCGCAAGTGGAGGAGGAGAAACACTACTACGCACTCGGGGAACCCAAAGGGTGAAGGAGGAGGGCGGCCGGGTGGCTCAGTCGCTGAAGCACCCGACTCCTTGATCTCAGCCCCGGTCTTGATCTCGGGGTGGTGAGTTCAAGCCCTGCATTGGGCTCCACGCTCAACATTTTTAAGGTTTTTTTTTTTTTTTTTAAAACAACAACACGAAGGACAGCTCTCCAAGGGTGAAGGGTGAAGAGGGAAAACCCCGCTCAGCCTTCCCAGCCTCTGCTCCTCACGGCATCAAGTCGCCACCTGTGCTCACCTCTGCTTCTACGCCACTCGATGTCTGTCCTGTCATGGCCTGGTCCAAATGGCCCCGCTGATGTCTCCGCTGCCAGCCAGGGCGGCCGGACCTTCAGAGGAGCCTCGGGGCGAACCTGGGCTCCTGGGTTGGGCAGCCGTGGGCCCGTCTCGGCCCTACAACCTCCTGTGTCTGGGACTCGGGAGGAAGGACTTAGTGTAGCTCTTCGTGTGAAGCTCAGCAAAATGAGAGGCTGGCGTTCTGTACGTCATGTGTTGGTGTAAGGAAGACTGGGGAGGACGTCTGTGCAGAGGCTGGAATACAGCAGTCAACCCTACGGCCAGCCAGCCTGTGCTGAGGGCCAGTCCTGTGTCACGGCTGTTACGAATTCACGACAAGCCGAGGCTGCCGGTCCCCGTGAGCCCCATGATACGGGGAGAGTCTCCGGCACACCCTGAGTGGTGGGGCGGCTCGGGCATCTCAGACGGGGCCCAGCATGCTTCTGGAAGGCCAGGAGTGACACGTGCATATGGCTGCCGGTGAGGTTTCGGGCCACGGGGTCTGCAGCTCTACCTAACCCACAAAGCACAGCTCATTTCTCTGCCATGAAGCCCAACTGCACTGACTTTCTTCTGGAGCCATCAGACAAGCAAACCCCAAGCTGTCTCTGGTCTTTCTCAAAACACTGATCGCAGAAACACGTCCATTTCCCCGTGCTGTGTCAAATGCACCCTTACTCTGGAAAATTTCGTGTTAGACAGGTAGCGTGCATGGTGGTTAAGGATCTGGACTCTTGGCGCGCCTGGGTGGCTCAGTTGTTTGAGCGTCCAACTTTGGCTCAGGGCCCGATCTTGCAGTTCACGAGTTCAAGCCCCGTGTCGGGCTCTGTGCCGACAGCTCAGAGCCTGGAGCCTGCTTCCGATTCCGTGTCTCCCTCTCTCCCTGCCCCTTCCCCACTTGCACTCTGTCTCTCTCTCAAAAATCAATAAACATTAAAAAGGAAAAAAAAGAAAAGAATGTGGACTCTTCTTCCAGAGCCGGTGTGCAAACCTGAGCAAACTGGGTGACTTCCCTCAGCTTCAACGGACTTGCCTGTAAACTAAGGCTAAGGAGAACGTCTAGCCTCAGGGGGCGGTGGGGAGAATTGCAAGAGATAAGGCAGGTGAAGGATGCCACACGGTGTGGTCTGTGGCTCGTGACTGCAGCAGCCTCATACGCCTTTCCCATAGCTCTGGAGTTTAAACAGCCTCAAAATGTCAGTTTTTAGTATTGAAGTCCCTTCAGCTCACATTTGCCTATTTTTAAGGCAAATTCTCAGGAGCCTGTTCCAGACCGTAAGTCAGCAGAAGCCACAGCAGAAGGGGCCAGAGTGAGACCCCGGTCAGCACACGCACACAGCGTGAGTAGCGCCCGTCACGCCATCTGAGCGGCCGCCTCAGTGACTAAACACTCTAGCGGAGAAGTCACGGGTCTGTTAATGGCAACCGCCGATCCCTGGGTGCGGGGCTTACTTCCCGGGAACGGAAGGCAGGAGAGAGAGAGAGAGCCAGCCAGATCACTGCACACGCAGTCAAGCATGAGGAGTTTCAGGCATCTTAAAGACACAGTGTGCACCAATGTCAGCAGTTCAACACAAACCAATCACACCGTTCTTTTGTGTCAAAGACCCAGATGGGCTTGCCTTGGCATGAAGAAAGAATGGCTTCACTTAGACATTCTGAAGACCCAGAAAAGAAGGCGGGAGGGAGGAATCCTTACTGAGCATCCGGGATGCACCAGGCACTGCGGGAGGTGGTTTCAGATGCTATCTGAATCGTCGTGTGGATTCTGCAAGTAACCACTACCATTCCATGAAAAAGGAAACTGAGGCTCAGGGGGTCAAGGGACCCAATTGGACGTCTTGGATCTA